CGCCGCCGGCGTGCGGCCACAGGAAAGCCGCCGCAGCGGCGCCGGGGCGGGACGCCTCTGCCGCGGCAGCTCCGCCTGCCTGGCGCGCGCTGCGAAGCTGCCGGCCGCACGCCAGGCCCGCGGCGCAGAGGGCGAGGGCCACCGTGCAGGCCTGCCTCGGCCCGCGGCCCCGGCCGCCGGCCCACGGCAGGGTGCCCTCGCAGAGCGCCGTGCGCAGGCGGCGCAGGTGCGGCCCGCGCCCGCCGCAGCGCATGCTGTCCGCCGCGCGGGCGGCTTCCTCGCCGGGCGCGCAGGAATTCGAGCAGTAACGGCTGCGGTGGGGTATGGGGAGGCCGACGCTCATGGGTTCGAGAGCGGGAGATCGGGGGAGGGTCCGCAGGGGGGGAGGGGGGGCAGCCGACAGGGGGAGGGGAGCTCCGTGAATTTTGAGGCCTTCGAGAGTGCGTGCGCAGGAGGAGGAGGACAGTACGCTCCCTGCTGGCACGAGGAGGAAGCTCGGAGCCGCACGCAGGAACTTGCAGGGATGGGCAGACAGAAGAAGGGGGAGATGGCAACGGGCGGACACCATGGATGGATCCCACCAGCCCTCTGGGTGTAGGTTGTTCAGATTGTTTCCTCTTCCCCCCTTCTTCCCCTTCGGGGGTGAGGCTGACCACTGCTCTTATCAAGAAGCCACCCCTCCCCCATTCGAACTGCTGCCAGACCAGGCGCCATGATCTCCCCACGCCATCCCTGTCAAACACAAGACATCGTGCACTTCGCGGCAAAATCTGGATCATGAGCGGGCGTTCCGCGACCACTTTGCACTGGACTTTAACAGGGATGGCGGGGGGGTGATCGTATCTGTCCGCTGCCCCAGCATTCTGGGCTTGAGCCATGACCTGCCACTGCAACCCTCCTCCTCACGCGCCCAGCTAAGGCCCGGCAGCAGAGCCTCCCTCCAGGAGAGGAACGAGGCCGTGCTGTTCTACGCAAAACCTTGCTACGCACCATTTGCCCCCCGCACCCCCCCGCCGCCGAATCTGATACTGACGCGGCCGCTGACGGGTGGGCCGCCACACGCGCCCCAGCCCCAACTGTGCATCCACGGCCAGGGATCATATTGCCTCCTCCCTCCTCCCTGAAGCTCTCTTGTTCATCATTGCTTTCTACTCTCTCCTAGCACGGACAAGCACACACGCACACGCAGCGAAGTGCGGGGCACCCTAGGGACATTAGAGCGCTGGGAGGTACAGCCAGCAACAGCCCCCAAGGACGTGCTGCACGTGCACGTGCACGGGGCGACCCGGCCGCCATCAGCCGAACCATTCAGCTAGCAGGTGACGAGTGTGGGTGGCGGGATCAGCGCAGCCCGTATAGGTGCAGGCCCGAGCCTGTTGAACCGATGCTGGTCCCCGGGGCCGCTCCCCTCGCCAGCCCACTCGCGGGAGGCCCTGGAGGTGCGCCTGCCTGACCGTGCGGCCGAGCCTCGGTCACCGAGCCAGCGTGCCTGGAGACACCCCGACCCTGCCTCCGAGTCTGGAGCCTGGCCAAGACGCTGGGCGCGCGAACGGCGGACGAGGAGACCCTTCGGCCGAGGAGTTGCAGCCCCGACGGGGCGGCACTCACGCCGCGCCAGCTGGGCATCTGCCCCAGACAGAACGCCGGACGGCCGAGCCTGTGCCTTGCCCGGGAAGGCGCGGAGGAGAAGCGAGGCCGAGCTTCCAGATCTGCTAGGCGGGCACACGCCTGGACTGAGTGCCCAGCAGAGGAAGTGTGGGTGGGCGAAGGAAGGGCTCTTTCACGGCGGTCTTCCATGCACTCCCTCAAAGTCCGTTCCCCTCTAGCCTCGACCACGGAACTGCAGTCGCTCGACGCTATGCCGTCGAAGTCCTCGTCCTTTCCCAATCTTCGCAACGACCATGGCCACCTGTCCGCCCATGCGTATGAACTAGTCGAGCACTGTCCGGGTTTCGCGCCAGTCATCGTCCCCTCCTCCTCCTCCTCCTCCTCCTCCTCCTCCTCCTCCTCCTCCTCCTCCAATCGTCCCTTCTCCTGCTGCTGCTGCTGCTGCTCCTCCTCCTCCTCCTCGCTCGTGCCTCAAACCTCCCCCTCCTCTCATCCTCGCTGCCCCCTTCCTCTTCGTCCTGCTCCTGAACCTCCTCTTGCCTCCTCATTGCTACCTTTTTCATCCTTGCTTCTCCCTCCTCGCTTGCTCGCCCGCACCTCCTCCTCCTCCTCCACCTCCTCCTTCTTCTCTTCCTGAAGCAGCTGTCACTCGGGGGCTTCCTCTTCGGGGTCCCGCGTCGGGTAAATGCGGGGGAAGTACGGGCTGGCCAGCTTCTCCCCGTTCGTTAGATTGTGACCTCCGCTGGAGGGAGGGGAACAGAGAAAACTGAGGAGACGGCGAAGAAGGACGATAATGGATGTTGAGGAGGGTTGAGGATGGAGGAGGAAGGATACGGGATAATGATGCTGATGATGATGATGAAGAGGAGGAGGAGGAGGAGGAGGAGGAGGAGGAGGAGGAGGAGGAGGAGGAGGAGGAGACGGCTGATCAGGAGGAGCGCCCGTAATTAGCTCCCCGAATCTGCTTCGCCTGGCCACGCGCGCGCGCGCTGGGGTCGGCTGAGCAGCGGTCGAAGTTGGGCGCTCTGGAAAGGGCGCAGGCGTTCGTCAGCGCAGCCTGGCGGTCCCGCGCGAGTGCTGACGAGGCTGTTTCGTGGATCTCAGCCGCGAAGCCGGCGGGGTCAGACAGTGTAGCGCCTGCCTCGGAGGGCGCGCAGGAAGGCCGTCAGTACAGGCGCTGTGTCACGCCAATGTGCACGGGCAGCCGCGCGGAGGACGGGCAATCACACATCGGGGTAAGGTGCGCGCGTGCTCAAATCTGGCTCCTGGGTCAGGACGTTGCGCGTGGTGCGGGCAGCCACCTTGACGTTGGCCGAGGTGATCTTCCACGCCTCAAGCGGATCGTCGACTGGCATCCCACAAGCAACCATCGCCTTCGCGAGCGTGGATGCGAAGAGGGGCTCCCGGCATATCCACTTTGGGTGGGACAGTCCTGGCACCGTGGAGCCGTCTCACTGCCCAGCTCCACTACGAGGATGCCATGGTCGCAAAGCTGGAGAGTCTGCGATGGTAGTGGGCGGAGCTGAGGAACTGCTAGACTCGTGGTACCCTCGGGTCCATCAGACATGTCAGAGCATGCAAACGAAGAAAACAGGAATGCGCCAATCAATCTGGAGTGGTTTCCATCCTGGCCTCAGGCTGATACCAGCCAGTCTGCGTTGAAGCGGAAGCGCCGGTGGGCGCGGTAGAACTCGATGGGGAGAGTCTGAAGACACCGGGTGTCCGCGAGTGGACACGGTTTGGTATGGAGGGCCGCTACGCGGCTAGGGGCAATCACGTCCATCCACATGGGGTTCTCGACGGGTCCTTCGAGGTTGCCCAAAGGGACAAGGAATGCCAGGCCGCCGGCACGGGTGCTCTTGCCACATCCTGTGTAAACGAATGGATACCTATACGGCACGGCCGAGGAGCCATATCCTGAGCTGCTCTGCGTCGCCGTGAGCCTCGTGGACCAGGACTACTCCGCCTTGTTGCAAGAACTTCTAAACTACGGCAAGTTTGCGCCTCTGTTTACCCTGGGAGGAACAAAAAAAGCTGTGCGCATTCCAAGTCACCGCAGACAGTGGATTGCCCGGGGCCGCCCAGGGGGCCCAACATCGGCCACGGCATGTCGGAACTCCGGTCCCCGAAGAGGTTTTGGAACTTCCCGTCGATGAGGCCGCGATCGATGCCAAGTCGTTTCGCCTCATGCCTCTTCCACTCGATTTTGGAATGCTCGTCCAGGACGTTCGGGACGATGATCCTGGCGATCGGCATGCGGTCAACTCTGACCTCGCCCTTGCCACGGTTGGCCCGGGATTCAAGCTTGTTGGAGTTGCGTTCCAAGGTCTGGGCCACGCCCTTGGTCTGGAACTCCACCCGCTGGGTGCGTGGAGAGCGGTCCGGGTTGATGTATAGGGGGCCTAATGGTCCAGCCACGGGGGGGGCGCAGAACTGCCGCCAGCGCTCGTCTGGGAATTTGAAGGCCTGGGCCACGGCGAGAGCGCTTTCGTCTCCGACGACGCCGCCGTGCACTTCGATACGGAACTGCCCGCCTGGACCGCCGCCATGGAGGGTGATGTGCTCGTGCTGCAGTCCCGCGGCCTGCAGCCAGGTGCCGAAGGCATGCTGCACTGCATCTGGGGCCGTACCGTCCTTGGCGTTGACAGTGAACAAGTTCGGTTCGGGGTCACGGTCCCAAGCGGAGAGGCGCACGATGTCCGTGACGGCCGCGACACGCTCTGCGATGCGGAGCGTCTCCTCGATCTCGTGGACTTTGCCGGCCAAAACCTCCTGGTGGGCCGCAATGGCGTCGACCCGTTCGGAGCACTCGTGGACCTCGTCGCGGAGCTCGCCGATCTTGCCGTCCAGCTTGGCGGCGTGGTCGGCGACAAGGCCCGCGATCTTCTTATGGAAGTCGGTCGTGACGGGCCGGGAGGCGGACTCAAGCTGGGTTGCGGTGCTGCCCAGAATGTCCGCCAGGGCAGTGCGCATGTCCTCGGGGCAGGAGGCCGGAAGTCGGTCGACGGTCTTCTTGAGCGGGTCACCGAGGGAGGGCCCGGCTGGCTGGTGGGCTGCATCATGGCGAGCACCAGAGGCTGCAGCAGCAGGATGGCCATCAGCAGGTGCAGCGGCCGGCGCCCCTTCTTCCGAACCCTCGGCGCCTGCAGACGCGGGCGGACGGGTGCGTGGGCTTTGAGGAGCCCCTTGCGGACCCAGGGGCCCGCCTAGCTCGTCTTCGGGCTTGCGCCGCTGGGCTCGCGAGGGGGAGTGCCGGACCGGCCAAGCGGGCGGGGCTGGCGGCTGCGGTGCGGTGGCTGAGGCAGGCGCCATGTGTGTGTGGCAGCCCACGGCTCAGCAGGTCCTTGAGGCGAGCCAGAGCGAGCGACAGCAGCGCCAGCGGCCTGGGGCATGTGCAGGCGGCCGGGCGCATGCAGCGGGGCCGCAGCCGGTCGAGCTCTGGAGCAAGTGGGTGCGGACGCTCGCACCCCGCGAGATCCCCGAGGGGGACGTGGGGCTTGAGCCAAAAATGGCTACGGAGGCTGAGAAGGAGGAGGAGGAGGAGGAGGAGGAGGAGGAGGAGGCGAACGTCGCCCCTTCTGCACGAACCACCACTCAGATCCACGTGGCCCGCCCCAGAAGCTGGTCAAGGTGTTCTTCGGCTCGGATGCGGTTGTTTCGTTGTTTTTTTGCGCGCAAGCGTGAACACAAGTGTGCTGACCTTGTGGCTCCGCCCGCAGCTCTAGACATCCAATCCAGGGCTGTGCGGTTCGAGCGCTGCTCCCATGTCGGATGCCCGCGTGAATGTGTAATTCTTTCGGAACTCAAGGCGGTGAAATGAGGAGCACGAAACCAATTTTTCTTGGGGCTCCATGTTGCATTCCCGACAAACTTTCGAGGGCTGTGTGATTCGATCTTATCCTCCGCCTCCGCCTCCTCCTCTTCATTCTCATCACCACCACCATCATCATCACCATCATCATCGACATCATCATAATCATCATCATCATCATCATCATCATCATCATCATCATCAATATTACCAACATTACCCATTTCATCATCATCATCAACATCATCACCACCGTCATCATCATCCTGTTCTCCATCCTCATCATCGTCCTCATCCTGATCCTGGTTCTCATCCTCATCCTCATCTTCAACACCCAACTCATCATGATCATCAGGATCATCATAAGCATCATCATCATCATCGTCATCACCATAATCATCAGTATCAACATCATCATCGTCATCATCATCCTCACCTTCATCATTCTCATTATCATCGTCATCATCATCATGATCCCCATCATCACCATCAACATCATCCCAACATCATGATCATCATCATCATCATTAGCATCACCATCACCATCGTCGTCATCAGCATCATCCCCAGCATCATCATCATCATCATCGTCAATGTCATCCTCAATTCATCATCCTCACCATCCTCATCAACAACATCATCACCACCATTGTTTTCGTCATCGTCATCGTCATCATCACCGCAATCGTCATCGTCATCATCATCACCATCATCATCGTCATGACCACCATCATCATCATCGGCATCTTCATCATCTTCAGCATCAGCGCCATCGCCACCATCAGCATCAGTACCACCACGACTATGATTATGCTCATCAGCATCATCATCTCCATCACCATGCTCATTCTCATTATCCTCGTCATCCTCGTCATCGGCTTCATCATCACCACGACCATCAGCATCATCACCGCCATCGTCATCGTCAAAGTCATCGTTATCGGCATCGTCATTTTGATCGTCAACACCATCACCACCTTGATCACCATCACCATCACAATCATCATCAACACCACCATCATCAGTGTGGTCGCCGTCATCATCATCATCATCATCATCATCGTCATCATCATCATCATCATCATTCCCATCCCCCTCCTCATCCGCATCCTGATCCCCATTATCCCCATCACTACCATATCATCATCATCCTCCTCCTCATCATGTGCATTATCCCTACCACCATCATCAACACCATCATCATCATCACCACCACCATATCATCATCATCACCGCCATCATTGTCATCATCGGCATCGTCACCGTCATCATCATGATCATTATCATCATCTTCGTGATCGTCATCTACATCATCAGCAGCAGCAAAACCACCACCATTATCATCATCATCATCATCATAATCATCCTCATCCTCATCACCGTCCTCATCCTCATCCTCATCCTCATCCTGATGATCCTGATCCTCATTTTCATCAGCGCCATCGCCACCATCAGCATCATCGACGTCGTCACCACCACCATCATCATCATCATCATCATCATCATCATCATCATCTTGATCACCATCAGCGTCACCATACTCCTCATACTCATCCTCATCATCCTCATCAACCCCATCATCCCCTTCATCATCATCATCATCACCACCACCATCATCATCCTAATCACCACCATCGTCATCGTCATCGTCATCATTTTCGTCAACGTCATCCTCATCATCACCATGAAACTCATGACCATCACACCGTCATTACCATGACCGTCAATATCACCACCATTATCATCATCCTCATCACCATAATCACCATCGTCATCGTCATCGCCATCGCCATCGTCATCACCATCATCAGAATCATTATCATGATCACACTCATCATCACCATCATCATGACAATTATTGTCAGCATCCTCATACTCGTCACCAGAACCAGCATCACCACCATCATCATAAGGATCACCATTGTT